GGCCCAGGTGCTCAGCCAGGCCCACAATGTACTGTGACGGCAGGGAGGTGGACAGCTGCAGGTACTGGTCAGCAAAGATGAGTGGGGCCACAGTGGTGTTGAGCCTGTGGGGAAACCAAGGAAGCCCACCTGGCTCTGGGTGGCCACCCAACACCCCTCAGCTCCTGACAGGGTGGGGCGCAGCCCCAGAGCTGGGGGACTCTCAGTCAGGGATCCCCTAAGGCCTGCTGGTGTCAAACCCCCAGATGTTTGGGCAGGGAAGATGGATCGGACACTTGGGCATGCCAGCTTGGGCACTGCTCTGGGGCACACTGGGACCCAATGCTTTTGTCATCTTCTCTCGGATGAAGGCTCTCCAGCTCGCGCCACCATACAGCTGGCCCCTTTCTAGAACTTTCTCCCTCCCCCTTGGCTCTGTGCAGAGAGGGACTTGCTGTCCTCTCTGGGTATTACCCAAGGGAAAGTTCTGGAAGGTGAGCGAATTCCAGAGGATGTGCCAGACTCGGGTATAGCACCTGTGAGTCCAGCCTTGCTTTGTGAATAATGTGCTGCTCTGTTCACCCTCAGGGTCATCGCCTGACCACTGCTGTGCCAAGTGACTGACCCTGTGGAGGCCAGCGGCTGCACCCCGAGTCTGCTGGGGACCCCGCACTCCGGGGGTGGGGCAGGTGATACTATGATCTGAACGAGGTCAAGGATCCGAGTGGCCAGGCCTGCTGGTCACCTTGTGCACTATGTGCCACTTCCTTTTTGAAGGGGGAGGACTGGGGACAGGGGGCAAGGGAGCCCCACAGTGCGATGAGCGTTTGCCTGTGCCACTCTCCAGCTCCTCCCACAGCCCCCCAACAGCCCCCAGGCCACTCGAGGGTCCAGTCAGAGTGCCCAGGACTGCACGTCAGGAGAGCCCCTGAGGGGCCTTTGAGAGGTCACCGGGTGCTTGGGGGGACACTTACAGCACCCGGTGGTCCCCTGACCGGCGGACGATCACCCCGAAGGGGTCTCGGGACAACTCCACCTCGTAGAGTGGGCTCTCAGCTTTTGTGTGGACTTGGGGGGTCCTCAAGGGCACCTCATAGCGCCTGTTCTTGGGGTCTCTGATCTAGAAGAAGACAAGATGGGGCCATGAGACCCCCTAGTGGGTCAGCATCTGGCCCCTCTCACCTGCCCCCTCTCGTTGCCCTGCAGGGCACAGGCTGGTTCTGGTCCCAGAGTGTGACTGTCTCCAGTGGTCGGGCCTGTGACATGGCCTGTGTGTCCCTGGGACGTGGCCGAGCAGTGTGGCCGTGGCCTGTGTGTCCCTGGGACGTGGCCGAGCAGTGTGGCCGTGGCCTGTGTGTCCCTGGGACGTGGTCGAGCAGTGTGGCCGTGGCCTGTGTGTCCCTGGGACGTGGCCCTGTGATGCGTAAACGGGGCAGACAGTGCCTCCCTATGTCGCTTCTTCAGCCAGAGATGCTTGGACAGCACATGGCATTGGGGATCAAACAAGGCAGATGCCCGGGGTACCCGCCTACTCCTGCTGAGTGCCACACCCATGCCCAGGATGCTGCTGGGCTCCTGGGACCCGGCAGGGGCCCGTCCTCCCTCACATCCTCCGTTCAACCCTGCACTCCTTGCTGGGATCCCTGGGGATAGTGTGGGTCTTCTGCGTGCCCGCCCCTCGCCTCTCAGCCCAGGCCTCGCCCACCGTGAGGCGTAGGCGGCTCTTGGTCTCGATAAGCACGTCCAGCTGCAAGGTCATGACATCCTTGGGGAGGAAGGAGGTGCAGGGGCGCGTCAGCGTGGCCGAGTAGCCGGTGGCCGTGGCCGTGAGGTTCTCCAGCTTGTAGCTGCAGTAGCCGGTTGGGAAGAAGCACCAGGGCTGGCCGAGGCCGGCTCCCCTGGGCGGGCCCGCGGGCTGGTAGCAGCAGCCCCGCTCCCTGCACTGCTGCTCCGAGATGCCCCTGTCCGGGGCGCAGTCGAAGCGGCTGCTGGGGGCCACGTCGCACTGGTGCGGGCTGGGCGGGTCCCTGGGGCCGCGGGGCCCCTGCTGCCGGGCGCTGGGCTGGTCCCCAAAGCCCCTAGAGAGGCTGCGGAGCTCTCGCGGGTTCTCGGCGCAGTCATCGAGGAGCGTGTGTACCAGCAGGGCTGCGGTGGCCAGGAGGAGCAGGGCGCAGCCTCCCAGCAGCGGGCGGGGGCAGGGCGGCCACCTCGGGTCCATGGCACTGGCTCTGAGAGAGAAGGGCCGGAGGGAGGGCAGGGTGGGCGTTGTGGAAGAAAGCCCATGAAGGCTGCGGGCCCCCAGGTGCCCAGCATACCGACAGTGGACGGAGGGAGGGCCAGGGAGGGCGGGCCAGCCCCAGAACGCCTTCCGCTGCAGAGGTCTGGAGGGTCACAGATGAGAGCTCTCCCTGCTTCTCCTTCCGTCTTCCTGCGGACCGTCAGTATTAGACAGGGCTAGGGTGGGGGTCCTCTCCCAGAGGGGCTGCAGGCCCTGGGCTGGGCAGTTCTGACCCACGGAAGGGCCCTGGGAGGGGTTCTCGGGGTGCCTGCCTCAGCCCTGCTGGGAAGGTGCTGGCTTGGGGTCCTGGGGTTCCTCATGGCTCTCCTGGGGGTCCAAACTCCAAGCCAGGGCCAGGACACAAGAGAGCTGCAGGTAGGGCCGGGCGTCCCGGCACACCTGCTGGCCACACGGGGCACTGCTGAGCCTGGCCGCCCACGCTGGGCACCAGCTGGGTGGCCAACAATTCAGTTCTGACATGGCCCCGTTAGCATCCGCCCCCACACACACACACTCCCCCCCCCCAGTTCCTGTTCCAGCAGAGGGCCCCAGTTCGCGCGCGCGCGCACACACGCACGACCCTCCAGCAGCGCCCCGCAGCAGCCTGCCCCCAGCACCCCTGACCAATGCACTTGCACTGTGACGGGTCCCGCCCCGGGGGCGCTGGGGTTCGGGTTAGGCTAGAACAGGCCAAAAACCAGGCCAGGCCGCCTGGGGCGGGCGCACTGGTGGGGGGCGCCGCGGCCGCCTCCGGGGCCTCCGGGGCCTCCCAGGCGGTCCCGCTCCCGCGCGAGCCGTTGGCCCCTCGCACGTTCCTGTGCCGCCGCAATCGCGTGATTAGGGCGCAGCCTGCGGTCTGGGTGCCCCTCCCCGGGCGCGGGCCTGGAGGTCACGAGGTCGCGGCCTGCCCGCGGGGCCGAGGCTGCCCGCCCCCGCGGCCGCAGGTGCCTCAGGTTCCCTGGCGGCAGTGGCGGCGAGGGAACGCGCCCTTGGGCGGCCCGCGGCGGCGGTGGGAGAGGCTCCGGGACCGGCCGGCCCGAGCTGGACCCGCGGCGCCCGCCCCAGCCCGCTCAGCAGCTCACCTCCGCGCACGCGCGTCCGGCCCCGCTGCGCTCCCGTCCACGCATGTGCTCCCGCCGCTGACCACTGCCGCGGCCCCGGCGCGGGGGCGGGGCGGGCGCGCCACGTGACGGCCGCGCGCCCTGGCAGAGGCTGTGGGGGGATGGGTGGGGACTCGCCCCCCGCCCGGGGAGGGCCCCCGGCTGTCGTGGCCCCACCTGCCGCGCTGACCAGGGGCCCGCAGGGGGCAGCCCGGGGCGGGCCCGGAGCCGCTTACCCCGGAGTAGGACAGCACTTTGCCCGGGACCGTGGCCTCATGCAAGGTCCGGGAAGCGTGCATGGAATGAGCGGAATGTGCGCGCGAGCAGCAGGCAGGACCGTGGTCACGTCCGACCAGGCCCCGCCGGTGAGCCCTGCAGAGGCGGCCGCTTTCGCTTTCGGCAGCCCCGCCGCCCGCTCCCTCTGCCCACCTGTCCCGCCCCGAGCTGAGCTGCGCTTACCCAGGTGGGCCACGGGAACAGCGGGCTCCGGTTTGGGGGCCCTCTGCGCCCACAGCGTCCGGAGCACTGTCAGGGCTGATTCCCGAGCCCAACGGGTGTGGCTCAGCCCCTCCCAGCCCGCGAGAAGGTGAACTCGAAGAGCCAGTGTGGTGTGCGGGCAGGTAGCGGCTGCGGAGGGCATGGAACGGGACTCCCTTTCCAGTTTCACAACAAATAGGCCTTTCTGCTCCCTGACTCGGACCCTTTTAATTTTCTGCTGAAAAGCTGGAGAATTACCTTGTGGGATGTTTTTCCTTTACACGGGGGAGAGGTTGGCCCAGCCCAGAAATCCGGGTGAAGGACGGGGAGGGCCCTGGGGTGGCACCACCCCTTGGCAGTCCTGCCTGGCAAACCTGGGGTCACCTGAGCCAGGATGACCTAACGGTGTGGAGCTGGGAGTGTCCAGTGGTCACTCAGGGCCTCCTGTTCCTGGGCTTCCTTTTTTTTTTTTTCACTTTTACACACTTTATTAACACAATTCGAGGCGCCCAACGCCTGCCTACTCATTCTCTTAACTGCACAGCCTGGCATTGGGGTTGGTGAATCTGATGGTCAGCTGGGCCGCTATTTCCACGATTGCTTTGCGATTCTTGGAGGACACGTTGTGAGCGATCTTGGCACAGTAAGATTTGCTGCACATCAGCAGCACCTCGAGCTCCTTGATGATGTGAACCAGGAACTTCCGGAAGCCGCTGGGCAGCATGTGCTTTGTCTTCTTGTTGCTCCCATAACTGATGTTGGGCATCAGGATCTGGCCCTTGAATCTGCGGCGCACCCTGTTGTCAATGCTTCTGGGCTTGTGCCAGTTCTGCTTAATCTTGACAATAGTGGTCAGACTGGTGCCTGATGAACTTCTTGGTCCTCTTTTTGACGATCTTGGGTTTCACGAGAGGTCTGAGGGCAGCCATGGTGCCTTCGGGAGATGGCGGCCACCTCTGTCAGAAGCGCCGAGGAAGAGTCCTGGGCTTCCTTCTTACGGGAGGCGTGGAAACCCACGGCGCCCGCTGCATCAGGTCTGACCATGGGTGCCGGCAGCCCCAACATGCTGATGTCTGTTCCTCCTTCTTAGGGTCCTCTTCGCAGTGTACGTGGCTTTCTGTGACCCAGACAGTCCCAGGCCCCCGGCTGCCCCTGCCCTGGCCCTGGGATTTCTAGGAGGGCCAGGGCACGTCCCTTCTGTGGGCAATGGCCTGGACGACCTTGAGCAGGGCCTCCTGGAACTGCGGGTACTCATCGGTCACGTGGACCAGGATGGTGCTGATGAGGCCGGCCTGCGCGTGCAGGCGCTGTTGCTCGGCCCTCAGCCCCACCTCGGAGCGGGCCAGCAGCACGTAGCGGCCGTCCTTTACCGCCTGTAGGTGCTTCTGGCGCGTCTGCAGGGCCACCAGCTGCAGGAGGTTCTGGAGGGCAGGACACGCGGTCAGTTGCAGAGGGCATGGAGGGGTGCAGGCCAGAGTGGGGCTCCCTGGAGTGGCCAGCCTGGCACAGCAGGCCCGGAAGCGTGGCTGCTCTGACCATTCCTATTGACCACTGGGCTCAGGGGTGTCACTCCCCTCCTCACTCTCCTGGGGCCTTACACCACCCCCCCCACGAGTATTTTCCCCTGCGGATCATTCCAGGGGGTGCTGGGTGGACAGGCAGCTCCCATGTGCAAAGCCTGTGCCCAGCCCCCTGAGCCCCTCCCTGGCAGAGGTCTGGGGTAGAACCCCGGGGAGCAGGGATGGGGGAGCCATCTCACCTGCCGCTTGCGGGCCCGGAGCCCCTCCAGGCCCGACTCCAGCTCGTCCACCCTGGCCTGCAGCTCCGAGAGCTGCACCTGCTTCTCCAGCAACGCGCTGCCCAAGCCCTTCTGCGTCTCCTCCAGGTCCCGGATGGTCTGGGAGCTCTCCTCGGAGGCCTAGGGGGCAGAGAGGCTGCAGAGCATGGAGCCCCTGCCCTGGGGAGCCACTCTGCACCCTGGCCGCAGGGACACGGGGACCACACACAGCTGTGTGCCACGTGGGAGAGAGACACGGGACGGGGCGGGCAGTAGAGGGGACCCTAGCAGGTGAGGGTCCGTCCTGGGAGGCTGGCGTCCAGGACCCCAGTGCCATTGAGGAAAAAAAAAGTCTGGAAGCAGCTGGAAGCTGGCAGCAGGAGGGACGGCTGGCATGCGCCAGGGAAGGGAGCCGCGTGGCCCCAGCTGCCCCCTCCCCGCCCCAACCCACCCTACGCTGCACACCAGGCGCTAGCAAGGATGTGCCCAGAACCCCATGCCCGGAAGCAGGCTTGCCGGGTCCCAGCGCGGGCTCTTACCCAGCCCTCGCACTCCCAATGGTGGGGGCAGGCCACACGACCCCGCTGCCCGCCCACCTTGTGGGTCTCCCTGATCTTGCGGCGCAGCTCGGACAGCTTGTGCTGGAACTCCGTCCGCGTGAGCAGTTTCGTGTCCACCTTGGAGCGGCCCTGGGCGCTGGTGGTCATGGAGTCCCTGCGCGTCACTGCCTGCTCCATGCTGCGGATCAGCTTCTCCTGCTGCTTCAGCAGCTGCCCATAACGAACCTGGATATGGGCAGGACACGCACACCAAGCTGGGGGGCTGGCAGGGAAGCCCCGATAAGAGCTGGGAGTCCAGGATAGGGGGCTCTGCTGAGGGAGCAGACAGCCTCAGGAGCTCCCGCTGGGGGTACCACTCAAACCCATCCTCGGGACATAAAAGGTGACATTCGGGGAAAACAGATGGGCAGGGGGAGGAGGAAGCTTTCTAGAATGGTAAACGGGCCCAGTGTTGGATGTAGCAGAGCCCGTGACCAGGCGGGACCGGGCAGGGCAGGGCACCCCGGCCAGCAGCCCCAGGACTGGGCAGGGCCGAGCACCCTGGTCAGCAGCCCGTGACCTCCACGGAAGGAAGCACCGGGGTGGGTGGACAAGTGCCCAGCCTCAGACAGAGCCAGGACCTGCTTCCCACGCCCAAAGGCAGCTGCAGCCGGACCTCGAACCTGGCCGGCACCTGCCCACTCAACACTGCTGCCTTGGGCCAAGAGGTGGAGAGATGCCTAAGAGGGCAAAGGGCCAGTCCCCAGAGGCAACAGAACAGAGTGAAGATGAGGTCCCTGAGCCACTAGTGCGGATCCAAGTGACTGTTAATAAGGATATAGCCAGAAAAGAAACTGGGTGGGGGGAGGGACGGCAGCTCACACTCTCCCCAGCACACGGTGCTCGCGACCCACACAGGGCCCATGTGTGTGCACTCACACACATCTGCGCACATGCAGACACGAAACTCACACATTCATGCACAGACATGCTCGAGTTCGGTCTCCCAAGGAGAAGCGGGGACCCCCTACGCCAATGAGAAACCTTTCTCTCCACACTGGATTGTCAAACAGTCCAACATCTTGACAGAAACTGGTAAATCTTGCAAATCCACAGAAATATGCAAATGTGGATTTTATTTCTACATACTGACCACGTGCAGTTGGTAACAGACAAGATTAAGGCAGCATTATGACAAACTCTGCTGGGATACAACAAAGCCTGTGGGAGTCTGAAAATGACAGGCTCTGACACAAACTCAAACCCCAGAAGAAAAAGAGAAGGGGAGTTCTGTGGGGGGAGGGGTACACCAAGAATCGTCAGCTCACCCTCCCCCACCCGGCACCAACACAGCACATGCCAGATCCCAGAGGGACTGCTGCAAAAACCCACAAGCCCATCCTCATATGCCAGTGCAAGGTGACAGACACGAAGCTGGGCAGGAGAGACAGTGTGGCGGGTGGGATGCTTGTACCCTCCAGATGGTCCCCGGAGCCCACCTGGGTGAGCCAAGACTTCAGAGCCAGAAGCAGCCCTGAGCACCTCAAGGTGTGCTCAGACACAGCAACACGAAAAGAAAGACAATGTATTTCAAAGGATTTTGCTGAGGAAGAGGAACTGGAAAATCACTCAGGGACTTCTGAGCTCGACAGCCCAGGGCTGGATCAAGGGCAAGAACGGACCCACAACGGCCACCAGTCCCTCGCTGGGCAGTCTTTCCCAGCGGGCTGCCTCCTCCAGCACAAGCCAGAGCCTGGTCACTGGGGCCACCGGGTGGAGCATGTTAACTGTGTCCCCTAGGCAACAGGACAGCATAGGACAAGGCCAGGTCTGTATAATCTGAGTGTCTCCCTGGATCATCCACCCTACTACTCCAGGCCCAGCAGGCCGCTGCGGCTGCCTCCTCCTCCTCCTCCTCCTCCTCTCCCCCTCCCACCTTCATGCCTGAAATTACGCCCTGCTGAGCCACGCCCACCCCAGACCCGGAACCTAGGCCGGGCCTCCCCGCTCACTCTCAGACCGCCCCAATACCGCCCAGAGACACGCCCAAGCCCGGAGGCCACGCCCCCATGTCCCGCAGTCCTCACCCACTCTCAGAGGCCCCACCCCTTCTGCCCCCACCTTTTTTTTTTTAAATTTTATTAGTAAAACACCATGAGGTACAGTTGTAGACTTACAAATTTTTGTGCTTGGATTTCAATTATACAGTGATCAAATATCCGGCCCAACACCAGTGCCCATTTTCCACCACCATGGATCCCAGTATCCCTCCCACCCCCACCCCCCATCCCACCTTGCCTCTGTGGCAGGGCATTCCTTTTTGTTCTCTCTCTCCTTTTGGGTGTTGTGGTTTGCAACAGAGGCACTGAGTGGCAATCATGTTTGGTCTATAGTCTACTTTCAGCATGCTTCTCCCATCCTGGGAGGATCCTCCCAACACCCTTTATTTGGTGCTCCCTTCTCTATCTGAGCTCCCTTTTCTCCTAGCATGTGTGGCTGGCCTCCAAGCCATGGAGCAAACCTCCTGGTACTAATCTCGGCCACTCTTGGGTGTTAGTCTCCTATTTTGTTACTTTATGTTCCCCAGATGAATGCAATCTTTCTATGTCTATCCGTCTCTTTCTAACTCATTTTGCTTAACATGATACTTTCCATGTAGCACCACTTGTATGTAAATTTCATGACTTCATCTTTTCTAACACCTACATAGTACTCCATTGTATAGATGTACCAAAGTTTCTTTAACCAATCATCTGTTCTTGGGCATTCAGGTTTTTTCCAGATTCTAGCTAGGAAATACCAGATTCTAGCTAGGAAATACCTGATAGAGGCCATGCCCCTATGCCCGCCCTCCGAGGCCCCACCCCTTCTGGCCCCACCTTTTCTGCCCACTCTCAGATCCCTTCCTCTATGCCTCGTCGTCCTCCTCACCCCTCCCTGGCCCACCCTCCCCCCCCACTTCCAGGCCCCGCCCCAGCCTTGCCCTCCCCATCCACTTCTAGGCCCCGCCCCTCCCAGGCCCTTCCTCCCAATCCCCCTCCCCACCCACCTTCATGCGGTGGATCTCCATCCTCATGGTCTGGATCTCTGCCTGGCCAGTCTCCGAGTCCACGGAGTTGCGCATCTCTTTTGCCAGCTGGATTTTTTTCTCCCAGAGCATGATCTGATGTCTGGAGGAAGGTGCCAGGGTGAGGCTGGGAAATGAGGGGGCGTCTCCTGTGCTTCCCTGAGCCCACCAGCTAGGGCAGAGGCTCCCACCTTCCTAGGGCTCTCCCCTCCTCGTAGGAAGAAACGCCAATCGGCCAAAGCCATCGCACAGAGCTAGGGCGCTGGCCCTGCACGCGGCCACCCGGGTCCAAGCTCCACACCCCATATGGTGTCCTGAGCCTTGCCAGGAATTAGCTGGGAGCACCGCCAGTGTGGCTCCAACACAAAACCAAAATATCAGTCTGCGACCCCTGGAAATTGGGTGGGGGAGGCACACCTGGCAATGCTCGGAGCTTACTCCTGGCTCTGCGCTCAGAATCATTCCTGGTGGGACGAGGGACTACATGGGATGCCGGGACACAAGGCTCACACTGGACCCGCTGTACTACAGCTCCGGCTCCAAAGTACTTTCTTTAATCAATAGAGGGCAACGCTATGGCACCCACAGGTCCTACTGCCACCCCATTCCAGGGGTCCCCACTTGGGGAAATAGTACAAGGGACTCGTTGGTGAGGCTGAAGAAGAGCCAGGGCCTGGCATATGCAATACCCAGCACCGAAAAAAACAAAAAAGAAAAAAATAAAAATGGGGCAGGGTTGGGACATGACAAGGGTACGGTCAGTCACTTTCTGGCACCGCGCGGGACACTCAGCACCCTGGGCACTCTGGTGGCCTCAAGCTTCAAGCAGCCAGGCCTGCCTGGCGTGGCTTCTGGGTCCGCAAGCACAGTTGGGGGTGCCCCCCCCCGAAAAGTGATTTATTCAAAGTTTATGTGAAAGGAGCAACATGTTCTGGGTCCAGCGAGACATGGCCTGTCCAGGACCCTGCAAAGCCTGTAACTTTTTCTGGATTCTGCAGGGGTGAAGGGCCAGGGGGCTGGGGGGCTCTTGGTTGCCCCGGTTCTGGGACTCACTCGGCCTCGACCAGGTTGTTCATCAAGATGGTCTTCTCCTCGCTGAGCTGGTTCAGCTTGTCCTGCAGCTCGATGGTCTCCCTCTCCGCCTCCTGCAGGGTCGCAAGCGGCCAGTGTGGGGAGAAGCCAAGCGTGGGGCGGGGCCATCGTGGGGCGGGGCCAATGGGAATGGAGCCATTGTGGGGCGGGGCCATCGTGGGGCGTGGCCAATGAGGATTGAGCCAGCGTGGGGAGGGGCCAACATGAGGTGGGCCCAATGGGGATGTAGTCAATGTGGGGTGGGCCCAGTGTGGGTGGGGCCAACATGAGGCGGGGCCAACATGAGGCGGGGCCAATCGAATGGAGTCAGCGTGGGGAGGGGCCAGTGCGGGGAGGGGCCAACATGAGGCGAGTCCAATGGGGATGGGGCAAACATAGGGTGGGCCCAATGGGGGCCGGGCCAGTGGGGCAGCAGTGCCCACCTTGAGCATGCACAGGAACTCTTTGTGGGTCACCATGGCGTCCTGCTGCAGCTGCTCCGTGTTGCTGCGGTTCTGGCCTATGAGCACATTGAGCTTCGTGAGGTCGTGGTCCAGGCCCCGCATGTGTCGCTCGATCTGCTTCTTCTCCAGCTTCTCGGCGTTGATCTTGCCTGCCGGCGGGAGTAACCACACAGCCGCTGGCCACTATCCCAGAGAAGCGCAGATCCCCACCCCGCTGACCCTGTCCGACACAGGGAAGGGGCATTCCTGAGGTGTGTTTCCCCAGCCGGGCCCCTGTGCAGGACGGACCCTGGCAGGCAGGGGCGGGAAGCTCATGGTCAGCTGAGTCCCCCAGAGGGGCGTCTACTTCCTCCTGAGCTCCCGGGACAGGCGCTGGGCAGAAGCTTCCCCGAAGCCCCCAAAAGACACAACCGCTGGGAAGCAGCACGTGTCACCGCGTGTCCAAGCCCATGTGGCTCCCAGGCTGCCAGCACAGGAGGCAGGGTGGGGGGCAGTAGCAGCCCAGGAAGGGTGCCCACTCTGCACGCTGCACTGGCATAGCGAGGGCTCCAAGATTTAGGCCCGGCCCAGGGCAAAGTGAGGGGCCACGCCAAGCATGCTCAGGGATCACTGCTGGCTCTGTGTTCAGGGGTCTCTCCTGGCAGGGCTTGGGGGCCCCGATGGAGTGATGGGGATCAAACTGGGTTTATTAGCGTGCAAGGCCAGTGCCTCGCTGTCCTTCCCCGAGTGGGGTTTTGTGGATTTCGGGGCAGTGCCAGCGTCTCACTCTCGATTCGCAGCTTCTTCTGCTCCAGGATGCGCAGCTCCTTCCGGGAGGTGGTCACCGAGGCCAGGTGGTCCTCGCGCTCGTGTGTGGCTGCCACCATGTCCTGCTGTAGCCGGAGCCAGTTGACCTGTGCCTGTGTCAGGCTGGCACTGTGCTCCTCGATCAGTTTGCTCAGCCGCTTCATCTCCCTCTCCAGCGGCCCCACCTCTTCCCCCTGCAGCGACGGGGGAGGGGGGGTCTCCCAGTCATCACGGGGCTCAGTCCTGGGATGGGCATCTCCCCCGCTGTCACCACTGCCTGAACCCAAAGGGCTTTTGGAGGTCCCAGGTGGGCTCTGTGCGCCCTTAGAAGACATCCAGGGTGGCCAGAAGTTCTGGGCACCCCCGCCTCCTAGTCGGGCCGTGGCTGCAGGGGGAACCTGGCCTGCCGGAGTAGCCTGCTGGCCCCTGCCCCGTGCGAGCTGCTGCCTTAGACATGCCCGTAGTCAGCTCTGAGCGACCAGTCTGCACATCCGCCACCCCAGAACAAGGTGCTGGGCCCCACGGACCCCAGACCCCGTGGGGGAGGGGAGTGCAGGCCACTCTAACACCCATACTCCTGAGCTGCCTGGCTGTGGACCCCGTCTGTGCCCCAACCCCTGACTGCTCCTGCCCGTGTCCCCCTGACCTGCCTGTACCCGCCTATGTGCCCCCAACCCCTGTCTGTGCCCACCTGTGCCCCCGACCCTGTTCACCCCTGCACCCGTGCCAGCACCCCGCGTGCTCCCCCGCCCCCATGCTCCCCCACCCCCACATGGCCCCGTCCCCTCCCCACGCTCACCCCGCGCCGCCCTGGCTCACCCCCAGCTCCGACACCATCCTCTCCAACTGCTTGTTGAAATGGTTGATGGTGCTCTGCTTCCGCTCGATGAGGGTGGTGCGCCGCGAGATCTCGTTCTGGCTGTTGATGATGAAGTCGTTCACCCGCTTCACCTCCTTGTCCAGCTCAGCCAGCGTCTTCTCGTGCGCCTCCTGCCGGCAGCTGGTGTCGGTGATGTCCACTGTGGCCTGGGCGATGTCGCCTTCGATCTTGGAGAAGTGTGTCACCTGGCAGAGTGGCGGGCCAGGCTGAGCCGTGCGGCCCCGGGCAGCCCACGCTCCTGGCCTGTCCCCAGGCTCCTGGCTCAGTGCTCAGCAGGAAACCCTCTGTGCAGGGGGTGAACTGGGGGCGGCAGGATGCAAGGCAAGTGCCTTTGCCTTCTCTCTGGTCCAGACTGTTACTGAATAGATAACATGGTGTGTGGGCGGCGTGGGGGCAGAGAGCTGGACACTTCCAGCCAGCAGGCCCCATGATCCTGTGAGATCTGGGGGCTCCAGAGGACTCCTGCCCCCCCACTCGTGGGGACCCTGCCTGGCTTCCAGTTCTCTTGGTACTCCCCTGGGGTCATTGTAGACCCCCCAGGTGCTCCTGGGACCCCAGCTTCGGAAGGTCCCTCCGTCCACCCACACCACCAGACCAACTAGGGCCTTTGGGGAGGGCAAGGGGTGGGTGGGGGTTGTCTGTGCAGTCACTGACCTGGGGGCCTCCACTGCCCTCTACTGGACAGAGGTGGGAGCACATGCATAACCTGTGCTGGCCCCGGGGCTGGGCGCTGTGAGAACACCTTCCTGCCCACCGCACACCGGCCACCTCCTCTCACTCCCCGCTGGAAGGTCAGGTGCGAGGACAGTGTCCCCCTCCACACCGCCCAGAGCGACCGGGGACAGGTGGTGAGTGCCCAGCTGGAACCGTCACTCTCCACAGCCTGAAGAGCCTGAGGTGTTCAAGCCAGGGCCAGAGCAAAGGGAAGCGGCTGCTGTGTCAGGATGCGGCCCAGTGTGTGTGATACACACATGCATGTACACGTGTGCACGTGTAAGGTGAGCAGTGTACATGCGTGTCAGTATGTGCATGCATGTATATGCACATGTGCGTGTGACTTGTTGAATGTACATATGTATACGTGATTGCAAGTGTGTACTACATATATGTACATGTATGCCTGTGTACATGTGTGCATATGTGAGCGTGCAATGTATACGTGTGCGTGTGTATATATGTATGCGCCTGTGTGCTGTTGCTGACAAGACGCGTCGGCCTGCAAGGCATCAGTGCACATTTACAAACTTTCCAGGGGGATCGTGCGGGTGTCCGACAGGCTTCTCTGGAGGTGACCGATGAGCCGTTTGTCCGTCTCTCCGAGCTTTCTCCAGCCGAGAGGGGTGAGTGCGCATACCCGAGCTGCCCACCGCCCCGGGGGAGGGGAAGGCGCGTACCAGGCTGGTCTTCTGCTTTCCCAACTTCAGGATGAGCTGGTGGAAGGCTTTAGTCATCTTGTTGGAGGTGACCTGCTCCCGCAGCGTGTCCACCATATCCATCTCCATCTGCTTCCGCAGGTCCAGCAGAGCCTGGATATCCCTCTGCACCTCCTGCCGCTTCTCCACGGTGGCCGCGTGCTCCTGGGGAGGAGGAACGGTCAGGGTGGCTGTGTGCGCGCCCACCTGTGCACCCCCGAGAAGCGGACCGAATCGCCTGGGCCCCATGTGCTTTCGAGGGCAGCTGTACCGCCTGGGCCCTGCGCAGAGCCTCGTCTGTGTCCTGCAGCGTGAGGCGGTAGGTGCTGAAGTCGTTCTGCAGGGCCTCGTGCTTGCCCAGGCACTGTGCCGTCAACTTCCTCAGCACGCCCGCCTCGGTCTCTGCGCGATTCAGGACGCTCGCCAGCTTCTCATTCTTCACCTCCTCCCGCACGATGGACTTCTTGAAGCCCTCCAGCTCGCCGTCCAGGGAGCGGATCTGGTGCTGCAGCTCCCTGAGGGTACACCGAGGCTCGGGGAGGGCACAGCTGAGGTCACACCCCGGGGAAGGACTCGGGGCCTGTGTGAGCCAGAGCCCGGGAGGGGCCAGTTTGCCGGACGGTGCCCCTCTGCATTGGACATGAAGCGCGGGTACTCGAGATGCTGTCCCTGGGCTACTGCCTTCCCCTGAGAACACACTCTCACTTCGAGGGGCCGGCTGGGCAGCGCTTGGGGCCTCTTGGCCATGAGCCGGGTCTCAGGCGCCCACACCTGCCCCCACATGCTCATCTCCCATATCCCCCACCCTGGCCGCCTGCCTGGCGCCCCTGTCTTTCTTGTCACTTCCGGGCAGGGGTGTCGGGTCAGAGAAGCCTGCGTGAGGCGTCTGCCTCCTGGCTGCTCCGCTGACCTCATCTGGAAAGGGGCACTTCCTGTGTGTGAGGACACAGCCCCGGGGCTTGGGGCCAGGCGGGGGTAGAAAAAGCAAAGAGGGGCTGGAAGGTGGCACCACTGACCACCCCCCCCCCACAGCATCCCCAGCAGTGATTCACCCGGAGCACTGCCCCGGGAGTAGCCCAAGCACCACCGGGTGTATCCCCAATACAGAATGGAACAAAGTTGGCAGGGAGATGTGCACGAGGGTCTCTCTGCATGGGAACCTTAGCCCGGGGAGGCATGAGGGGACTGTGGCCAGTGCCGGCCCAGATCTGGGTGATGGAGTCTATTAGGAATTTCCAGGTGGGCCCGAACCACAGGATAGCGGGGAGGGACTTGCCTGGCACAGCTGACAGCTAGGAGTAAGTCCTGAGTGTCACGGGCTGTGGCCCCCAAACCAAACGCAGCTCTAGAGCCAGCACAGGAGGGCACAGTCCTGAGGGGGGCAGAGGGCACCCGGGGAGCCCCCACCCGCTCCAGGCACCACCCGCGGGTGTAGGGAAGCTGCAGGGTGCCCAGCCCGGAGACGGGAAGGCTGGGTTGGTGCTTCTGTGTGTGCAGTGCTGGGACGGCAGTCCCTGCCTTCTGGGGCCTGCATGCAGGAGGCCCCACTTTCCACCCAGCCCCGTATGGTCCCCTGAGCACTGGCGTGGGAGCAGCCCTCCCAGGGCAGGATGCTGGGCCCCCCCAGCTGAACCCCTGAATTTATCCCTGTGCCGTGTGCTTTTGGGGGACATGTGCGGAAACACAGGTGCCTTGCCAGCTTGCCTGGTCCAGTGCTCAAGGCACCTGGCATCAACCAGCTGACCAGGGCACCAGGGCTGAGGACTATGCCAGGGTAACAGTCACAGCCGTGGGCAGGCCGTAGGGGGCTTGGGGACAAGCTACCACATGGCATCAAACTCCAGGGCGCTGGGGATCCATGTGTGGCCCTGTGCCCAGGGCAGTGAACTGTGCCCCATGTTGGCAAGGACAGGGTGCCCACTGGGAGGGGCCATGGCCTGTGGCCTGGCTGCCATGTCACTGTGGGGATACATGAGCCTGCGGGCACCATGGGCACATCCAGACATGCCTGTTCTTCAAAGTCTGTGGATATACCTCTCTCCTGCCCTCCCAGCACTGAGACAGTCCAGCCCAGGCCGGGGCAGCCAGGGCCCTGCAGCCGGCCTAGCTGGCCTGTGCCAAGGGACCCTGGTCACCGGCCACAGGGTGGGTGGCAGCGGTGCGGTGTCCAGGAGCCCCCCACCTCCCACTGGAACCCAAGCTGCACAAGGGGGTCCCGCTGGCCAGCAGAGAGGGACCGAGGGCTCGGGGATGAAGGTGCATGTGTGTGGACGCAGCACTGCAAGGCGGCCGGACAGCAGACCCAAGGCACCCTCTGCTGGATGAGTGTCCTCTCCGCATGGACTCGGCCCCAGGGCTCCTGTGGCAAGCAGTTCAGAAGGACTAACAATGGCAGAGGTCTGCTTGCAGGAGGCCATACCTGAGCGCCTCCTGGGCCACATGGTGGGCCTCGTCCCGGCCACGCATGCTCAGCAGGCTGCTGCCCCACTGCTTCAGGATGCGCTGCTTCTCCAGCAGGATGGCGTCTATCTCCAGGCAGGCCTGCAGGCAGCAAGTGGGGTGCCATGGGTGCCCCCCAGCACGGCCACAGCCTCTCTCGGACACCCCCCCCCCCCGCAGGGCTGTCTCAGCCCTCGTGGCACCGGGCGACCAGGATCATGAGGCCACTGACCGGGCAGCACAGCCGGGCCTGTCTGGCTGCCTTGCCAAACCCGTGTCCCCAGACACTCAGGCAGGGGTTCATGTCCCACACGCCGGCCTTCCCTTCCTGCATGGCTGCCTCTGAGAAACTAACAGCACTTCGTCTTCCCAGATCACAGTAGCCATGTCCAGCTAGGGCCCTGGCAGGGACGTTCCAGAGTGAGTGTGCTCTGGGCTGGGGTCGGCAGCTGTCCCAGGCACACACGAGTGACTGTTGTGTGTCCAGGCCATGGGCTTCAACCTGGGTCACACCTGCCTTGAGCTTACAGCCGGTCACTGTGGTTTGGGGGTTAGTCCCGCACGACAGAGGGTGGGCAGCAGAGGGATGGTGGCCCTCCCCGAGACCCCTGGTATTGCCATTCTGGGTGGCTGGGCTGTCTTGTCCGGGTGACCCAGGATGCTCAGATATTGCCCAGGGCACGGCTCTCACCTCGCTGACCGCTTTCCTGAGGGTGCGAGTGTCCTCAGCCTGGGCACTGCGTTGGGCATCCAGCAGGGCGATCTGCTCCTCAAGGTCACTGACCTGCCTGGTCAGCCTGTCCACGTGCAGGTCCTGTGAGACGCACAAGAGGCCATCTCAGAGTCCTGGGACTGCGCACAGGCCTTGGGTGGGGCGTGGCCTGGGCGTGAGGCCAGGGGAGGGGAGGGGCCTGGGAATGGGGCGGGGCCTAGGCAGGGGCAGGCCTGGGCGTGGGGGCGGGGCCTAGGCAGGGGCAGGCCTGACTGTGGGGGCGGGGTGTGGGGAGGGGCCTGGGCACAGGGCGGGGCCTAGGCAGGGGCAGGCCTGACTGTGGGGCGGGGCCTAGGCAGGGCAGGGCCTGACCGTGGGGCGGGGCTTGGGGCGCGGTGGGCAGGGCTTGACCATGGGGCAGGGCCTGGGCAGGGGCAGGCGGGCACCTGAAGCTGCTTCTCCTTCTCGGCGCGCAGCCGCTCCCCCTCCGCCTTCTTCACCACCTGCCGCATCACGCGGATGTCGTCACACACATCCTCCTCCACGTTCCGCGTATAGAACACATGCAGCAGTAGCTTCTCCAGCTCTGCCTGCAGCCCCGCCACTGCGGGCACGGGCACAGGGTCACACGGGGGTACAGGATCACACGGGGGCACGGTCACACGGGGGTACAGGGTCACACGGGGCACAGGGTCACACGGGGCACAGGGTCACACGGGGCACAGGGTCACATGGGGCACAGGGTCACATGGGGCACAGGGTCACACGAGGGCACAGGGGCCATGGGGTCACACGGGGCAAAGAGGCACACAGGCACAGGGTCACACGGGGGACAGGGGCCACAGGGGGCATAGGGTCACACGGGGCATGCAACCTGCACCATATGAGAAGCGCCCCCCCATGCCCATTACACCCTCCCCCCACAATCCCCCCCAGAGACCCTTAGTGCTGGTGATGCCTTTTCCTGCCCTTCTCCTGATACTGTGGTTTGAAGCCACAGAGACACTCTGCTTTCGTTTTTCTCCCTCTGCAAAACTTTCTGGGATTTTTTTTGGGGGGGAGTCACACCCAGCGATGCACAGGGGTTACTCCTGGCTCTGCACTCAGGAATCACCCCTGGCGGTGCTCAGGGGACCCTATGGGATGCTGGGAATTGAACCCGGTTTGGCCGTGTGCAAGGCAAACGCTCTACCTGCTGTGCTATCACTCCAGCTCCTTTCTGGGATATTCTTGTGCGGCTTTGAGTGCTCTGACCCCCCATGGGCTGCGTGGGGCGCCACAGCGAGGGTGAGAGAGGGTCCATGTGTGGAGAGAGCCTTTGGTGGGTGCTCGGACAGTGACCCAGGAAACTGCAGCGTGAATGAAGTGTGGGCGCGGGCCACGGGAAGGGGCCTTACGCTTCCTGCGCTCCTGCTCGGCCTCCTGGCTCGCCTTGGCGTAGTGCTGGCGTACGGCCTGCAGCTCGTCCTCCCGGTGCCGCCGCTCGGTGGCTGCCCGCGCGTGCTGCTCGTGGCTCTTCTCCAGCTGCGCCTGCAGCCCCGCCAGGCTCTGCTGCGCCCCGTACAGCTGCACCCCCAGCTCCTGCCGCTGCGCTTTGCTCTGCTTGGTGGCCACGTTCTGGGGGCCAGAGACGCGCATAAGGCGGGCCCCTACGGTGGTCCCGGGGGCTCGGGGCGGCCCTGCTCACCAGCTCCCGGAGCTCCAGCTGCAGCGCCTCTATCTGGCTGGTGAGGTGGCGCTTCAGGGCGGCCTGGAACCTCACCATCAGCGGCTGGGAGCAGGGAATGCGCAGGTGACTCCTGGGACAGGACAGCCTCCTCTACCTTCTATTTTGTATTAATTTGGGGCCACATTTGGCAGTGCTCAGGGCTGACTCCTGGATCTGTGCTCAAGGATCACTCCTGGCGGTGCCAGGGATAGGACCCGGCTCGGCCATGGGCAAGGCAAGTGTCTCAGCTGTACGGTGGCCCCAGTCTCGTGCCCTGCTTCTACCCAGGACTCAATCCAAAGGCTACTCCTAAGAGCCGCCGGGTCTCAGTCCAGGCACAGAAGCCCTGGGGGTGCATTTTGGTGAAAGGGCGGACAACCTGGGGCGGGCCTGTCACCTGCGCCCAGGGAGGCCAGCCCAGCTCCCACAGGCCCCTTTCCTTGTGAGAGCCCTGGGTGCCTGCCACCCTGGGCACTGTGCCCAGCCCCCTGGTGTGTCAGACAAGATTTCCTGGACGTTTGCTGTGGGGGTGGGGTGGGGGATGAACTTCCTGCTGGCAGTGCCGAGAAGCCCGGGATGTCGGAGCTCAGGGCCGATGGGTGTCGGCTGGCCAGGGCTGGGCTCAGTGACACCCCCTCGCCCCCTGGAGGGGGACCTGGGGCCCAGAAAGGTGGGGGGGTCGCTCACATGGTCTGGAGCCAGGACCACCAGCGGGGACTCTCCCTCCGATTCCTCGCTGCCCTCTGACCCGGCCCTCTGCTCCTGGGCCTCCTCCACCGAGCTCAGGTGCTGCAGCTGGTGCAGGAACATGGGCTGCGGCCTCTCCTCTGGGGACACACGAACGCGGGAGGGTCGGCTTCCTCTCGGGAAGGGGTGCTTGAGGTGGGGTGGCCCGTGGGATGGGGTCGGGCTCTCTGGGGTGCCGGAGCAACTCTCAGGACCCGTCCGTGGGTCAGGGGCAGACCTGGCTCCTGCAGGGAGGTGTCCGTGCTGGACGAGGCGGGCAGGCTGTCCTGGCTGAGCTGCAGGTGGTGCCGCCCCCACGCAGGCTCCTGCGACGGCTCCTGCAGATCACCAGGTTCCCAGGCCAGGCAGCCGCGAGGGGCCCCACCACTCATCCACATCTCCCCCAGGCGAGGCCCCATGTGCTGCCTCTGGGACAGAGACCCTGAGACTCGGGTGGGGGGACCCTAGCACTGCTGCAAAGACCACGGGACAGGGGTGGACATGGGGCCCGGACACCTGTCCTCCTCTGGGTGTGTGTGTGGGGGTGAGGGGGTCTGTGGCGGGGTTGTGTGTGTGTGTGCGTGGTTCTGTGTATGTGCCTGTGGGTCTGTGGGGGGACTTGTGGGGGAGTCCTTTTGTGGGGGAGTTCTTTTGTGTGTCTGTGTGTAGGGGTCTGTGTATGAGGGTCTATGGGGCATCTGTGTATGAAGATCTCTGTGTGTGGGTCTGTGTGTGTGTGTGGGTCTGTGTGTGTCTGTGTATGGAGGTCTGTGAGGGGTCTGTGGGGGGGGGGTCTGTCTCTATGGGCCCTGTGTCTGTTTCTCTGGGGTGTCTGTGGGAATGTGTGGGTAATCCAGGGGTCGCGGGCCCCAGCACTGCCCCGGGGAAGCTGTTTGCGTGTGACTGAGGTCATTGAACCACATTCTCGGGGGCGCCTGCTGAGCATGTGTGATGCTCCGTGTCACTCTCTAGGACACGGCAGAGAGGGGGCCGGAGGTTGGAGGTGGGTACCCAGGAAGTGACCCTCGTGCCACTCTGCCCCCAGGGCACCCGCAGGGCTCCTCACCGTGATGCTGGTCAGGGAGACCTCTGCTGACACCCTCGGCCGCGGTTCCGCCTCGTGATGCACCTCCGTGCGGTCGTCCAGGGGCACGAGCCCCTCTGAGGACTCCTCCTCGGTCCTGTTCCCTGAAGTCTGCTCTGTCCCTGGGCTGGGCAGCTCCTCCGGGGAGCTGGTCTCTGAACTGGTCTTGGATTCCTGGACCTCCCAGTCCTCCTGCCCCTCCTCCGACTCCGAGGCTCCAAGGCTGCCCATGTCCTCCTCACTTTCCTCTCCCTGCTCGCCGACCTCCTTGGAGGGTGACACCTGCGACCAGGTGTCCAGGGGAAGGTCAGAAGGGAACAGGGTGGGCCTGGACCCTGGGGTGACCTTGGGGGAAGTCCCCGCAGGGTTTGGGGTTCGACTTTCTGTAGAGCTGCAGACCAGCACGAAATGAGTAGGGGAACCTCAGAACGGGAATGGGGTGGCCTGTGGTCTCAGTGGCCTCCATGCCGTGGACGGCAAACACTACATGAGGTTGGGCCCAATGCTGTCCCCAACAGAGCCCAGAAAGAGCCCAGGTCCCCTCCGGAGTCTCACCGGCAAGCTTCCATCCTCCTGGCCCCCTGCTCCATCTGAGGGGGAGGCTGCGTCTTCTGGGGGATTAGTGTCCTCTGGGGGTTCCCTGCAGGATGAAGCCTGTCCTAGCTTCCTGCAGCTCTTCCCTGCCCGGTCACCTGCCACCTGGACCCGCGGCCCAGCTCCCTCCTCCAAGCACCAGCCTCCCTCCCGCCTTGGGGTGCCCAGGAGAGGAGACTCCTGGAGTCCCTGCAGGAGTGACTGGCCCTCACAGTGACTGGGGCTGAGGGCCCTGGACTCCTCACCAGGACAACTGTGAGGTTTGCCAATGCCTCCAAACACCCCGAAAAGACAGGCCCACCGCACCCCACTCTGCACATTCTCAGCACCGCGCTGGGACCTGGAACCAGGGGACTGCCCAGCTGAGGGGCCTCAGTCTCCACACTGACCTACAGGCCCTATCCCAGGAAGGACGGACTTGGCGGAGGCCCCGCCCTCAGGAGCAGCAGGCCCCGCCCATGGAGGCCCCGCCCCGACGCAGCTGACCCGCCCCCAGGAGCCGCAGGCCCCGCCCCAGAAGCCCCACCCCGCGACCCTCTGGGTCGGCCGCGGAGGCGGGGGTGCGGGGTGTGGGAGCGTTGCGGTTGCCATGGTCACGGCTGGCCAGCTGGTGTCGCTGGAGCCGAGCGCCCCCAGCGAGCTGGGAAGGAGGCGGGAGGGACGCGGAGGACAAAGGGACGGGTGGGGAGCGGCGGGGCGCGGGGTGCGGGACGGTGCGGGGCGGCCGGGCCCGCAGAGGCCGCAGGAGGCGTGGGGGGGAAGGACCCTCGGCGCGGGCACCGCTCACCCGACCCGCTGGCCGCCCGGTTCTGCCATAGTCGTCACCAGGCGACGCCGTCAACATCCGGGGGCGGGGCGCAACGGGGCGGGGGCTCAACGGGCCGGGGGCGCGCGGGGGCGGGGCGCAACGCGGGCGGGGGCGCGCGGGGGGGCCGCGGGATACCGGAGGCGGGGGCCTACGGGGGGCGGGGCCGTACAGGGACCGGGGTGCGGGGCGCGGGGCGCGCGGGGTTAGGGGCACGGGATGCGGGGTGCTGGGGGCGCGCGGGGTGGGAGGCGCGAGATGCGAGGGACGGGGGGCGGGGGCGCACAAGGACGGGGGCGCGGGCTGCGGGGGGCGGGGGCACACTGGGATGGGGTCGCGGGGCGGGGTGCCTTTGTGCGCTTCTGCTGGGGAAGCGGGTTGAGGCGTGTCCCCTTGGCAACGCTGAGACTGGCTCGTCCCGCAGCTCGTCTTCGACCCTCTCCTGCCTCAGTTTCTCTAAGGCGCTGCCCGGGTCGCCGAGGCCAGCGCGTCCGACCTGGGCCCCAGGGCGGGGTGCGGAGGGGCTTCGGGGGACCCCAGCTGGACACCCCCCGGCGTCTCCAGGCCGGGCCCTGCGGGAGGGTCCAGGCGGGTGGACCCCCGCCCGCGGGAGGAGCGCGCACGTGGCGGGGCCCTGGCCCGGCCAGCTCAGGGGACGGGGGGCGGGGGACGGGGACCGGGCCAGCTCGGGGGCGGGGGGGCGGGCCGAGCCGGATCCGGGGGCCGGGCCTCGTCGCGCGTCCCCGCCCCGCCGCGCCTCACTGGAGGCGGCGGCGGTGGCGGCGGCGGCGGCGGCTCCTCCGGCTCCGGATCCGGATCCGGGGCGAATCGGGCCCCGCTGCGGACCCGGGTGGGTGTCGGGTCGGGCCGGGGCCGCGGGACGGGGTCGAGGGGCTGCGGGGCGGGGCGGGGCGCGGGGCCTGGGCCGGGCCGGGAGGGGCGCGCGGGGCCCGGGTCCGCCGGACGCGCTCCGGGGCTCGGCCCGGGGCTGGGGGCGCCGCGGCCCGGCCGGGTCCCTCCACGCGGGCGCGCCGGCCTCGGAACGGAGCTCGGGTCTTTGTCCGGCCGGGGCCGTCGGGACGCGCGTGCGAGCCCCGGAGGGTCGCGGCGCCCCCAGCCCCGGGCCTGTCCGATCTGCGCGCTGGGTTCCCCGGTCCTGCGGGTGCTAGTCTGGCCGCTTAGCAACTGCTCTAGGCCCCGCTCCAGCCCCCTTGCTCCTCACTTAGAAAAAAGGAGAGCAAAGAAGAAGGAAAGCAAATTAAGGCTGCCGAGAATAACTCGGAGCCCGCCAGCAGCCGCTCCGAATCCTCCTGTTCCCACACGGCGCTTGGCGCTGGCAGAAATAGGATCCAGGCCCGCTCGGGGTCCCGGGCTCTGCCCCCGGCCTCCCTGGTGCCCGCGCCCGAAGGGTCGGCGCCCTCGGAGCAGCTCTCCCCCCAGGCCTGCCCCCCGGCCTCAGGGAGAAAGTCTGGAGTCGGGTCTCTTCCGGAAATTCTTCACGGGGAACATCAGTGTGGGGACTAGTGGACAGGGCACTGGCCAGAGCAGAGGTTTTGCCCGGGTGCGCGTGCGTGTGCGCGCGCGCGTGGGGGGGTGCCCAGCCCAGTGGAGAGGGGAGGTGCGAGTAGCATCTGGAGAAGGTGCCGCCCCAGCAGCGGGTGCTCAGGTGGCAGCCGGGGGCATAGCCAAGGGGCGGGAAGTCACCCCAGAACGTAGCGACGGTGGCCTGCTCTGGGGGAGGCCGGGGCACAGCCTCACCCTGACCCAAGCGCCCCCCCTTCCCTCCCAGGAGCCCGAGCTGCACGTTGGTGCGCAAGGTGGGCGCGTGGGCAGGGCGCCCCCAACCATCCGGAGCCGGCAGGAATGACGGTGGGCGCGGGCGCCTGTGTTCCCGTTGCTTCTCCTGTGAGCTCCCGCTGGTCAGCGATGCCTCCAGCCTGGACACGAGTGTCCAAGGAGAGCAGCGCCTAGGTCGCCCCCTCTCTGGGCACCGGCTCTGCAGGGGGGTGCAGTGCTGTGGCTGGAGGCGTGGCCTCCCAGCCAGCTGCGGGGGCTGCCACTCTGGCCCGGATGACCTCATTGCCCCGTGTCACCAGCACAGCTGCGCCTGGCGTGTGCCCAAGTTTGGTCCTGCGTGTTCTCCGTGCATGCGGCTGCCCTGGGCTCCATCCTGGCACCACACTGGAGCCTTCCAGGAGCCTGAGCACTGGCGGGTGCCCCATGCAAAAAGAAAAGCCCACTCCCAAACCTGAGCCCTGCAGGCTGCACACTTTGCCAGTCACACCCGTGTCTGCTTCTGGTTTCTTTCCTGGCTCACCTAGGGTGCTCAGTGCTCAGCTCCACACCCCTCCCACCCCTCTGGGACACCAGCTCTGGGACACCGACCCCCACAACACCATGCCTGCGTCCCTCCCAATCTGTCCCTGATGGCCTTGTGCTCAGGAGCCTGCAGGGGACCATGTGGGTTCTGGGGATTCAGACCAGGGCCCCCACATACGGGTCGAGTGCCAGGACCACCGGGCACCCGCTTACCTCTGGCCCTCGGCCACTGCATGTTGGCCCCAGACCCGCCCCCCCCCCCCAGGCTATGCTCGGAAAGGCCGTTCCCGGACCCCCATGCAGGTGCCTCAGCTCGGGACACCGCCAGGACTCAGTGCTCACCATGCCGTGTTCTTTTACTGCCCATCCTGTAGCACCACTCGGCCTGGCCAGCATGGGAAGGACGGGTGCGTGGGGAAGGACGGGTCAGCCCCGCTCCCCTAGCCCAGGAGACGGGGTGCAGTTCCGGGGCGGTGGGGTTGGGAGCTGCCGTGAGCGCGTGCTCCCTGCATCTGCTGTGGGCTGGCCGGGCCGAAACACCGGCTGTTGTTCGTCCAGCACTCCCTGGCTGGGCCTGGGGTGGTCTCCTCGTCCACCAGGGGGTCAGCCCCTGAGGGCGGCCGGCGTCACTCACAGGCTCTTGGTGGACCCCATGACCTGGACCCCAGGTCTGCACCCCTCTGGCCCCCCTGAGATGCCGGCTCTGGACTCTGACCCTCCACAACACCGTGACCGCGTCCTCCCCAGCCTGTCCCCGATGGCTCTCCCTTCTTCGTCCTGCTTTTTGGGGGCTCTTGAGGACCCTCCCATCCGAGTCCCATTTCCTGGCCCTGGGCGGCTGCTCCAGCTCTGTGGGGTGCATCGGGACCTGCCTGGCCTGGCCGGGGTCCTCCTGGGGCGGGGGGGCGGGGGGGAGCTTCGGGGGAAGCTGTGTTCCTGGCTGGCTCCCTGCACATCCCCATCCTCTCTGGAGAGGCTGAGGCCTTGGGGTGGTCAGGTCAGTGCCTGGGGCCTCACACTGCCCACAGCCCTGCCTCTGGCCAGCTTCCGGGGCTATGGACGTGGTGCCCAGGGTTCCTGGGGTCTCCGCAGAGCCTGCCCAGGCAGCTGCACGGGGTCCACCGGGCGCCCGCCCTGCTCGGCCATCAGGCAGCTGCCACAGTCGGGGGCAGGGTGCGGTCCCTCCGCGTTGCCTGGAGACAGATCCATGTCTGTCACCTGACCCGCGCCTGGCCCCTGGTTGAATGGCCCAGTGCAGGTGGCCACTTGGGGACAGCCCCTCACTCCCGCATCCCCGCCCCGTCGGTTCCTCTGCTGCCCCTCTGCTGGGTCTTCCTAGATACTTCTGGAAAGGACTTCTGCAGCTTTGGACGGAAAGGATGATGGCCCTGTCCGGGGTAGGAGGTGTCCCTGCGTCCCTTCCCGGAGCTGGCAGGGGGCTGGTCTGGGGGAGCCCGTGACCTGGACCCCCTCTGGAGAGGGGGCTGCCTGGGGCGTGATCTCTGCTGTTCTTTGTTAAAATATTTTGATTTTTTTTTTATTGCATCATGGTGAGACACACAACTCCAAAGTTGTTTGTGAATGAGTTTCGGTGACACAATGTGTCCCTTCACCAGTGCTTGTTTCCCATCACCAGCGTCCCCAGTATCCCTTCTGCCCCACCCCCAGCCTGCCTCTGTGGCTTACACTTTGCTTCTCTCCCTCCCTCTCTCCCTCTTTCTCCCCCCTCTCCCTCTTCCCTCTCTTCCTCTTCCCCTCTCTCTCTCCCTCTCTTCATCTCCCTCTCTCCCTCTCTCCCCAATCTCCCTCTCTTCATCTTTCTTCCTCTCTCCCGCTTCCCCTCTCTCCCTCTTCTCTCCTTCTCTCCCTCTCTCCATCTCTCTCTCTCTCTCTCTCTCACACACACACACACACACACACACTCTCCCTTTCGGCTCCATGTTTGCAGTACTGTTGCTGAAGGGTATCAGCCATTGGCCCCCCTTTCAACACTGGGTTCTTGTCCAGAGTGACCCTTTCCAACGGCCTCTTCTCTGTCCTGACTGCACCCCGCTCCTTGGGGCAGGCCTTCCACGCTGGACCATCCTCCTGGCCCTTGTCTCTGTCTTGGATGTCACTCACCTGCTATTTTTTTACGTCCCGCAAATGAGTGCAGTCTTTCCACGTCTGTCCCTCTCTCTCTGACTCAGTGCACTCAGCGTGATGCTCTCCATGTCCACCCATTTATTGGCAAATTTCAGGACTTCATTTTTCCTAAAAGTACGTAGTATTCCGCTGTGTCGATGTACCAGAGCTTCTTTATTCAGTCGTCTGTTCTCGGGCACTCAGGATGTTTCCAGATTCCGGCTACCGTGGTAGTGCTCAGTGAATGCAGGAGTGCAGGTGGCGTTTCCGCGTGTGCTTTTGGGGGTGTATCCCAGCAGTGGTGTCACTGGGTCATGTGGAAGCTCGATTTCTAGTTTTTTGTCCATATTGTTTTCCAAAAGGGCTGGTGCGGGAGCACCCCTTCCCCGCACTTGCCCTTTGCGACGGTCTCTGAGGTCGTGCCCGTCCTTTAGACCTGTGGCTCCCTGACCAGGCAAGAGCATTTCTTAGCGTGCCTCTGGCCATTTTTTTGGGGGGGGGGTCACACCTGGCAACACACAGGAGTTACTCCTGGCTCTTGCACTCAGAAATGACTCCTGGCGGTGCTCAGGGGACCATATGGGATGCTGGGAATCGAACCCGGGTCGGCCACATGCAAGGCAAACACCCTACCAGCCCCGCCTCTGGCCATTTGTATGTCTTTGTGGGTGTCTGTTCACCTCTTCTCCTGCACTTTGATGGGGTTGGGGGTTTCCTTATAACAGCCCCCCCAGGCACCCGCTGTGTCTTGACACCAGCCCCTGGCCAGCGCAGTGCGGGGCTTGCCCCCGGCCCGTGGCCTCTCCGTCCTAGTCGCCACTTCTGTTAGGTGCAGAAGCTGCTGAGTTCAGCGTGGCCCGGTCTCTGCTTTCCTTTCTCTTCTCTTCCCCTGCTGCAACAGTGTCGGCACTTTGTTCCTTGTGTCCCACTATAATGTTTCGTTGCGCGACCCGGTGACGTTCCCATCACCTGCTGTCTGCGGGCATTTGGGGCATTTCCACATTTTGACTCATGAGGAGTCACAACCAACATTCAGGCAGAGTCTCCGCTTTCCTCGAGGCCGAGTTCTTCCCTGTTCGCTAACAGCTACCCTGCCTGGGGTCAGCGGCAGGAGACCCAGCTGCCCGCGTGCAGGCGGGCACAAGCTCTGGGCATGGTCGCTTCCTTCTCCTCGCCCCCTCCCTCCTCTCCCTCCCTCTCTTTCTCTCTTCCCTCCTCCTCCCTTTCCCTCCCCCTCCCTCCCTCTCCATCCCTCCCTCCCTTTGTTCCCGTTCCCCTTCCCCCCATCCCTCCCTCCTCCCCCTGGCCTCCCATCTCTGCCCAGCTGCCAAGCTCACACTGTTGTTCTTTTCACCAACAAACCGCTTGGGGCGTGGCCACGGGTGGCACCTGGGCCACCTGCGCAGGGGAGTTCCCGGATGTCCTGGACAGGCCACCTGGGAGGAGGGGCCACTGTCCCTGCGGGGAGAGCCCACCCCACCCGTGGGAGGGGTCGAGTGGCCCTACCCGCTGACCAGTGCTGCCCTTCCAGCTGGGGGTGCCAGCTCCCCGCACGGCCCTCCTGACGCCTTCCTGCCCCAAGACTCACCGCGGGTGGGTTGGTCTTTCCTTCACTCCAGAGGAGTTGTGCCGCCTTGCCTGAGCCCCCTGGGCCGCACTGCCCCTCTCCCACTCCTTGCCAGGCCTTTCTAGAAGGTTCCAGGAGCTGCTGCCTGCTGAGTCCCGGCGCGGTGGCCCTCCGAGTCTGCTGCTGCCCTCGGGGTCCCCTGGCGGGCTTGTCCAGGGCTGGGCCCCCTCCCGCTGGGGGTCACGCCCCCTCCCACAGCCAGGCAGGCCCAGAGCAGTGAACGGAGAAACTCCGGAGCCGCCACCAAAGGCAGAAACCGGAGTAAAAAGGAGCAACTGCAAAGTGCGTGACATGAGGAGGCACCCACGCTGCAGGAGCCGCGGGTTGGGTGGGCTCGGGCCGCCACCGCTGTGCCAACAGTGATTCCCCAATCCCCGCCGGAGTGGTCCTGAGCGGGTCCAGTGGGGCAGCACGGCCAGGCTCAGAGTGGACCTCACTCGTTTCTCCTGAGGGAGGGGAGCCCCACCCGGCGGTGTTCAGGGAGCACTTCAGGGAACACTGAGGATTGGGTGCTGGGGATTGGGTGTTGGGCCTGCCACAGGGCCAAGCGCCTCCCGCCCAGCTCCCTTGCTGGCGTGTGGCTGATAAGGTGTGTGCGGGGTGAGCACTGCTTCCAGAGCCCTGTGGGAGATGACACTCGGGAGGCCTTTCCCTGTGGTGCCTGGTCAGGGGTGCAGGTTGCCTGACCCCGTGTCCTGCCCGGCTTTCTGCGGCCCTGTGGTCAGCCCTGGGGAGCAGTGGCCGGGCCGGGCTGTGTCGGGGTCACCTTGCGGGGCTGCCCAGTGTTTCTGCTGGGGAGAGCCGTTGGGATCTGCAGACCTTGTGGCGACCCCCAGCCTGGCCCAGACAGCCACCAGGGCCCCATCCTGCCTGGGGGTCAGTAGGGAGGGTACCCGGGCTCGGGCCCAGGAGGGCACCTGGCTGGTCCCCAGAGCCCTTGACTGGGGGTGCTCGGCAGTGACGTGCACCCTCACGGGGTGCTGGCTGGTGGAAGTAGCCCGGGAGAGCCTTCCCTCCTCTCTGCCGGGGGCCCCTGAACGGGGCCCACAGGGACGGCAGGGCCCCTGTCGCCCGTCAAGGACTGGGGCAGAGTTTGATACGGGAATTGGGGCGACAGCTCTGGAATTGGGGAGAAGCGTGAGCTGAGTCTAGAGCATGGGCGGGTGCTGACATGGACCCCCCCACCCTGGCCACGTGCCCCAGCACCGGTGGGGTGAGCTGCCCACCTCCCGGCCAGATTCCCTCCCATCCGACTCCCCTCCCAGGCCTGACCCCAGCTGTCCCCTTCTGTGGCTGGAACCCTCTGGGTTTGGGGCACCCACAGAGCCGCCTTTTTTTTTCCTTTTTTTTGGGGGGGTCACTCCTGACTCTGCACTCAGGAATTACTCCTGGAGGTGCTCAGGGGCCCTATGGGATGCTGGGGATTGAACCGCGTGCAAGGCAAACGCCCTACCCACTATGCTATCACTCCAGCCCAGAGAGTCGCTGTCTCTGAGGTTACCCCCCCACCAACACTGCCGGGGTCTGCACAGCCCCCCCACCACTGCGGAGTGTTCCTCCGGGGGTGACTGCAGGAAGCAGGGGTCAGGAGAGGGCTGGCCACAGGAGGGCGGGCCACGGAAGGGGGGGTGGGAGAGGCCCATGGGAGCCAGGCCACACAGCACCTGTTGCAGCGTTCCTGTCTTCCTTTCAGTTAGGTCGCGCTAAAGCTCTGCCCTGAGTGTCCTGCTCCCTCCCCCCCACATTCTGGGAGGCCAGTCCAGCCCTTCCCAGTGCTCGGGCCCCGTAAGTCATGCCCGCAGGGGCTGTGGGCCTTGGGTGCCAGAGGGGCGTGGGAGCAGCCGCGTGGGGCACAGCTCCACTGTCAGGAGGACCTGTCCCGCCGTGTGTCACTGATCCCTCCCATAGGACAGAACCTCCCCAGCACTGCTCACAGCGCAGCTTCTGATCTGGGCGCTTCAGGGGCTTCAGTCTGGCCAGAGCTCCAGAGATGTGGCTCCTGGAGTTGGGGGGCAAGGGAGAACCCAGCTCTGCTAGTCTGATGGCAGCGGCCCTTCCCAGCACCCGACCCCTTTCGTGCCTGTCACCCGGCTGGCTCTGGTGCTGTAGCTCCGGGTGAATCTGGGAGCCCTGTGGCTGGTTCATTCCAGCCTGCTGCTTCGAGTAGGAGTTGGGATGACTTCATCCCGAGGTGACCAGGGGGACACTCCACATGGGGACGCCAGCCAGGGCCACAGTGACCGGGACCTGGGCGGGGCTGGCGGGGGTGGGGGGGAAAGAGACACCTGAGGCCGAGGGAGAGGCAGCTGGAGGCGGATGTGACCCCCAATCCCCCTCCCTGGGAGGAGGCCCCGAGCCGGAGGACCCGCTGCATGTGGGAAGCCATGTCCTGGGCTGCCCGCTGACCCCGGCCCTCCCGCAGGTGTGACGCCCGGCGGCCGCGGAGGATGGGAGCACCCCGCCATGTCTCTGGGCCGCCTCCTCCGCCTTCGCCGCGCGTCATCCAAGACCTCGGAGTTCCTGACTGGCACGGCGGGTGGCGGGTCCCCCTTGAGCCTGGACGGGGAGATCGTGTACTCCAAGAACAATGTGTGTGTGCACCCGCCCGAGGGCCTGCATGGGCTGGGTGAGCACCACCCAGGTGAGCCTGGGGCCACGCAGGGGAGCTAAGGGGTGGGGGGGGACACAGGCCGGGGATGGAGACAGGCCCAGGGGGTTCAGGCCGGGGGAGGGGGGAACAGGCCGTGGGGATTCAGGCGGAGGGGGGAAGGCCGGGGGGGACAGGTCTGGAGGGGACAGGCCTGGGGTGGGGGACAGGCCGGGGGAGGGGAAAGGCCTGGGACGGGCAGGCAGGCTTGTCCCCCCACCGTGTGACAGGGCTGGGATGCTCAGGCCTGCTTCTTGCCAGACAAGTTCGCCGCCCTTCTGGTGGTCACTGGCCCCAAGGGTCACTGGCCCTGCCCTGGGCACACGGCTCTGCTCCTGCATCCTGCCCTGGCTGACCAACTGCCCGATGGACAGTGAGCGACCTGAGGCTGCCCTGACCACCCCCTGCCCCCCGCGCCTGGTCGGGTCAGCAGATGGGGCCTGACGTCGGGGGCCGCTGGCCATGGGGACTCTCCTAGCCTGACCCCGCCCCCCGCAGGGTACCTGTGCCTCTACGCGGAGAAGGACGAGCTGCTCGGGGCCACCCTCATCCTCGCCTGGGTCCCGAACGCCCGCATCCAGCGCCAGGACGAGGAGGCTTTGCGCTATGTCACTCCCGAGGGCTCCCCCGTGCACAGGGGCCCCCGCCCGCGGGCCCGGCGCGCCCAGAGCTCAGGGCTGCCCCCTCCGGCCCCCCGCGACGACGACATCCTGGCGGTGGCGCAGAGCCTGCAGGAAACGCTGGCCATCGCCCCCGCGGAGGCGGCCGAGGACGAGGCCTCACTGGACCTGTCGGCCGGCCTGAGCAGGACCAGCTCCTTCGACTCGGACTCGGCCTTCTCGTCCCCACCCTGCCTGTCCCCGGTCAGTGCCGCGCTGGCCGATGGCCCCGTGTTCCCCGAGGGCGACAGCGGGTGAGTCCCTGCCCTGGCCGGCTGCGTCCATTTGAGTGTCCGGGTCACCTGGGTTGGCCTGCCAGGCAACCCCACCCGCGTCTGGGCTCTCCTGAGACTTGTTTTGCTTTGGGGACATGCCCAGCAGTGCTCAGAGCTTACTCCTGGTCTGTGCTCAGGGGCAACGCATGGAGGGGCTTAGGGGATCCTGTGGAGTGCAGGGAGGGGACCCGGCTGCCTGCAAGGCCAGTGCCTGGCCATCTTGTTGTATCCCTCTTTCGATTCCAGCCGACAGCACTGCCCTGCATCCGGCCGGTGCTGTGCTCGATCCTGTGTGCCCGGGCACTCTCTAAACCCATGAGTCAGGTCATTCTGCCGTGCCCAGGAGGGGAAAGTGAGGCTCAGAGAGGGTGAATAGGGGCTGGAGAGATAGCACTGCAGGGAGGGCGTTTGCCTTGCACGCATCCCACCAGGGTTCAATTCCCAGGATCTCATATGGTCTCTGAGCACCGCCAGGAGTAATTCCTGAGTGCAGAGCCAGGAGTAACCCCTGGGCATCATCAGGTGTGACCCAAAAAGCGCAAAAAAAAAAAAAAGAGGGTTACTAACTTCCCAGGGGTCACACAGCTGTGTGCCACTAGGTGGGTGTTCCCAGGCTTCTGCAGAGAGGAGCTGGGGGAGCATGGTGGGAGGCGTCTGCTGAGCCCTTCCGGGCGCTGAAGAGGGACAGGGGGCTGTCAGCACAGGAAACTGACACGGGGCGGGGGCCTTGGGGTGGGGGGCGCCTCTCGCTGGGTTTGGCCAGAGCTCCCCCTGGTGGTGCCACACTGCCAGTGCAGCCCACCCACCTGAGCCCGTGAAGGGTCTTGGGGCGGAACCGGACTTGGGAGACAGTTTGCCTGGGCCTGCCTGGCCAGTCCCTCCTCGGCCCTCGTCTTTTGGCTTGTGAGTTACGGATGATGGTCTCCGCCGTGCCCCAGGGGCCTTTCCCAGTCCTGCTACTTCTAGAAGTCCCCCTAGCCCCCATGCAAGCAATGTCAGGCACCCACATGTCCTTGAATAGTGTCCCCACCTTCAGAGGGGGGCCACTGAGGACCCCTAGGGCCCTGGATCAGGGAGAAGCCCTGTTACATGCAGGGCAGAGGGGGCTGGAGCAGTCAGACAGCAGGCGCTTCCCTCGCACGTGTCCACCTGGGTCAGACCCTTGGCCCCCGTATGGCCCCCGGTCCACCAGGAGTAGGGCCAAGACTAAGCACTGAGCACACCGGTGTGGCCCCAAACAAGCCAAACATGCAGGAAAGCTAAGAGCACAGGTGTGGGCGGGCCCCTGAGAATTCTGGGGTGGTCGTAGGGTCCCCGGTCCTGGGCCTGCATTGAACTGGGAGAGACCCCCCAGGTAAGGGTGAAACACGTGGAACAGACAGCTGACCATGGCGCCGCCCAGTGCCGGTGGCCCAGTGGCCTCTGCCTCTCCCCCGTGCTTGAGCCTCCACGGCCCGCCCAGACACAGTCCCCGGCTCTGTACCCCACCCCCGTCCCTCCCGCCCCGCGCCCATCCATGTCCCTACGCACCGCGCACTACTCGTCTCTGTCCCCTGCGCCTGCCTTGCCGTGGACGCCGGCCTGGCTGCTCTCCTCGCTGGGTAGGGGTCCCAGGTGGGTGTGTGCCGCCGGGGACTCTGGGCCCCGCGGGCTGGTTCTGACCCACCTGAGTTCCCGGCCCCCTAGGCAGGCCAGGCCGCGCGCGCGCCCTCTAGTGGCGGAATCGGGGAACCACACGCGGACTTTGTGCTTGCACCTGGGGCTGGACGGAGGGAAGGTCCCCCCCCCCACCCCCGTCTCGCCGGGGGCGCGGGGGGCGTGCGGTAACGTGGCGCATGGCTCACCGCGGGGCTGAGGGCCCAGAGATGTGCACGGGGCACTGCCAAGTCCCCTGCCCACCCCTCCCCAGCACAGAGGAATGGCCTGCCTGGTGAAAGGGCGAGGACTCTGGCGCCGAGGGAGGAGGTGCGGTCAGTGTGCTGTGGCCCCGCCCCTTTCCGTGTGGCCCCGCCCCATCCCAGACTGGCCCCGCCCTTCTCAGACTGGCTCCGCCTCTCAAGTGTGATCCCGCCCCTCTCAGGCTGTGGCCCCGCCTCTTGGGTGTGGCTTTCCCGTATCTTCCCACAGAGCAGTGGGCACTCCCAGGGGTGAGGGATAGACCAGCGCTGCCCTCGTCCAGTGTTCTGACAGGGAGCTGCCTGCTCAGCGGGAGGGTGGCCCACGTGGCCTCGCGTGAACCCTGTGTGAGTCCCGTGTGGGCCTCTTGAGCCCAGGTGGCATCAGCTGTTCACTGCAGCCCCCTGGCCCGAACCAGCCTCTTCTCTGGAACTGTCCTGGGAAGTTGGGGTCTCAGGGATGAGGGCAGGCATGGGCTGGGGAGGAAAGGAGTGTGAGGTCCACCCCAACCCACTGACCAGCCAACAGCACCCATCTCATGGCCATTCAGGGCTTGCGCGAGGTCTGGTTCCCTGGAGGGTCCCCATCCGACTGCCGGTCCGGGGACCTCTGTGTCCTCAGAAGAATGCAGCCTGTCGGGGGCCTGCCGCCGTGGGGAGTGGGGCAGGGCAGCACAGGAGCGGGGCTGCAGAGCGCTGGAAGGCTCCTGGAAGCTGCCCCAGTTTGATGCTGCTGATGTCACACCCACAGAGAGTCTGGCTGAGCACACGGCCTGAGCAGCCCCCCGGGCCTGCGCCCACTTGCACTGGGTCTGCAGGAGCCATGCGTGTGCAGGGGTGGAGGTGTGCAGGGGGTGCAGGGGTGAGGTGTGCAGGAGTGCAAGGGTACAGGGGTTCAAGAGTTCTGGGGGATGCAGGGATACAGGGGTGTAGTGTGTAGGGGTGCAGGCGAGTGCTGGCAGGTACCAGTGTGTGTAGGCGGGTCCTGGCCCGTGCAGGTGGTATAGGGGGCACCTCTGTGTGCCGGCCTGTGCAGGTGTGTCCCAGCCCCCAGGGTGGTGTTAAGGTGGGGGCGCAGTCGGTTCTTCGGGGCAGACCCAGGGCTGCTCCTACGTCCGTCCGGCCTCAGTGCTGACATCTGTGAAGCTCCGGCCCCCTACGTGTGTTCACGTGGGTTCACGTGCTATTGTGCCTCAGCAAAGCCGCTGTTTGCAGGAGCTGGTGAGCGTGTGACTGCACAGGTGGTCCTCTCGTTGTCACGGGGTCTTGGAGCTGGGCCCCCAGGGCGTGTGTGAGGCCTGAGTCCCACCTGGTGCCCAGGGAAGGAGAGAACTGTGTTCTAGGGCCAGGGCCGGGGTGCCCTCCGCCAGTCCAGAGGCCCCGCGAGCACCCTACAGCCCTCTCCGCCCTGGGCCTCAGGTGCCTTCAGACTCTGAGGTCCTGCTGTCCCCCTTTCCTCTCCCATCTGGCGGGGGCTGGGTTTAGTTCCGCGAACCCAGGGCCAGAGCCCGGCCATTGTTTGCCTCTGAGCTGCCTCCAGCTGCCTGGCTGGGATGCTTGGACTCCAGCACAGTGCTCGGCCTCGCAGCCAGGATCAGCGGCCATCTCTGTGTGTGCCCACCACCATGTCTTATAAAGCAGGAAGAGAGAGAGAGAAGAGAGGGAGGGAGAGAGAGAGGGAGAGAGGGATGGAGAGAAAGGGAGAAGGAGAGAGAAAAGGAGAGGGAGAGGGAAAGAGAGAGACAGTGAGAGGGAGGGAGGGGCCAGTCCATCCCTGGAGCGCCCAGGTGGTACAGGTGGGCATGCAGGGCACTCCTAACCCTAACCCTGCCTGGTCCCTGGTGGGTGGGCTCCACCCGCCACCGCATGTGGTTCCCCTGAACACCTTCACTAAAACAAAATACCAGACAAGTTTCGCGGGGCTGGAGGGGGAGCACAGGGGTTAGGCTTCTGCGTTTGGCCACCACGACTCGTTCGCTGGTACCGTGATTGGTTCCGGACCTGCCAGGACGACCCGGAGCCGAGAAAGCCCTGCCAGCACCAGGGCCTGCAGAACGGAAACCAGAGCACTGTCCCTCGGGCAGGCAAGGGAGAGGGCTCGGGTTCTGTCCCTGCTGTGGGGGTCCCGTGTCCTTGGCCCCAGGGGTTCTGTTCCTGCTGCGGGGGTCCCGCATCCCTGGTGCCAGGGGTTCTGTCCCTGCTGTGTGAGGGTCCCTGTCCCTAGCCCCTGGTGCTTTCAGTTTCTTCACGACGTGGCCCCACAGTGCCCCTGCTGGCCCTGCAGCTCACTGCACCCCTTTGCTTCTGGGCCCTTCTCAGTAAGGTTGAGCCTGGCGGCCTGGACAGGTGTTATGGGCTGGCAGTGTGGACAGGCGGGCTGATGGCGTGGACAGGTGGGCTGGCAGGCTGGGCCCTGTCGTGCTGGACCAAGCCCGGGGCCTCTCCTCTGACCTGCGCCCTTCCAGCCTCACCCATTTTCTGCACATTTTCCACGTGCCCTGATTGCCCCATTCCCTTGTCTTGGGTGGTCGACGGCTCCTGGCGGGTCAGGCACATCTTTTCCCCCTGTGGGGGACGGGGGGTTCGCCTCCTCTCCCCCTACAGCTCTTCCTGGAGGCTCTTGCTCACCTGCCCCCGACGCGGCCAAGACCCCCCCTCCAGAACCGCGGGGTCCCGGCATCATGTGGTTGCAGGTTCCTGATGCAACCCCGGGGGCTGTTGCAGGGTGTTGTTCTGGGAGCTGCTCCAGATGCGGGGGCCGCTCTTGCATCAGCGCCTGGCGGGCTCCGAGCCCCCGGGAGCTGGCGCTAGGCCTCGGGGGACCCAACCTGCTGGTGCAACGTAACACAATATCTGACGAAACCCTGGGCGCGGGCTGTGACCCCCGTGACCGGAAGCTTCCGGGCCACTGCTGCGTCCTCCCCGTGTGATGTTGGGGACAACAGGCTCCTGGGGGCCCTGCCCTGCTCCCGCCATGGGACCTCCATGCCCAACGGGGTGCCCAGGCCACAGGGTCCCCAGGGTTGCCCTGCCCAGTGACTGCTCCCAGCTTTCTGGGGGGCACTGCGGGCTGAGTGCAGGGGG